GACTGGGCCTCTTATAGGGGACGCCACCATCTAGTGGTTTTTCCAGGCTTCTTTCTAGGAACTGGGTGTTTAAATTGTGGAGGCACCAACCTGGCTCTTTATATTCCTGTGTCCCTTCCCAGACCCCTCGCCAGCTGTGGGTCTGGCTCTAATGCCCTAGTGGGCAGTAAGCCTTGTACCTGGGGGATGCTGAGCTCTGTGTTCCCAGAACCTCAGGTGCCCTCTGCTCTGCCTGAAGTCTGCAGAAGAACATGACCTTGAGAGGTCATGTTATATGACCTACTGTTATCATGTTACATGTCAGGCCACACGCACACTGTGACCCTGAAAAGAACCCTGTGTAGTTGAGGTTGGCACAGAGGAGCAAGTTCACTAAGGTGCAGAAGCTCAGTGGTAGAAACTCTCAGGGTTAGAAGGAATTTTCGTGTGTGCTAGAGCAGAGTAGTCCAGGGCCTCCCTGGTGGTCTAGAGGTTAATTCTCAGCATTGTCACTAATATGGCCTGAGTTTGATCCCCAGCCAGGGAGCTGACTCTGTCTTACCCACTGGTCCCCTTAGCGGTGTATCTCAATAGGTACATTAGTTCTACTCCCCACTCTGTCTCTGGGGAATCCTTTCACCCCCTGCATCTCTAACCTGCACCCCAATTCTTCTACATAAAAATAAAATTAAAAATTAAAAAAAGAAAATGGAAGTAGCAATGTAGATGCCTCCTCCCTTTCCCCCGAAATGAGATGAAACCTAACATCTAACGTTGTCATCCAGTATCCCAGAAACCCCCTTTTCATAATCACAGTTGGAAGGTAACTTTATTTAAAATACAAATGTTGGTGTCCTAACTTAGGCTGCCTGAACTACAATCTATGGTTCCGGGCTAGGACGGGTGGGGAGCAAGAGAGAGGCTTTGTGATTAGTTTTAGGAGACAAGTGAAAAGCTAACGGCTTCTCATGGGGAAAGGTGAATCTCAGTGTTCAGCTGGTAGAGGTGTTCCTAGCTCCAGGGTCTCTCCACCCAATTTTATTGGCCCTGCCCCAGTATCAATGCAGCAGTGAAGAGTCAAGCCTGCAGGGAGAGCAGACTTGTGCACTAAGCACAGTTCTGGGGAAAGACAGGACTGTCCTTCCTGCTCATCCTCCCTTCTGACCCTGGTGGCTGAGCAAATACATAGTGACTCCTATTTCCCTTCCAGATAAACAGTGTTCTACTTCTGTCTTTGTGTCAGAGCTCCATTTTGAATGTGGGGGGGGGGGCGGAGAGGGGTCAATGGCAGCCTCTGTTTTCAGATAATGGCTCCAGGCCCTCCCTCGGGGCGCAACAGGTTAAAGCTCAGCACTGTGAAGTTGGCCAAAGCCACTTCTGTGGAGTTCAGAGTTCGATCCCCGCCTGGAGGTGACCCACATGGCGTGGCAGACCCCTCCTGTCTCACCCGCTGCTCCCCCTCAGCAGTGTACTTCATCCATTTGCCTGCTCTGCTCCCCACTCTCTCTCTGGTGAATCCTCTCACCACCCCTGCACCACCTCTGGCCTGTAGCCCAGTTCTGTATGCATCAATAATCTTTTCTTAAAAAAATTACTCCAGCAAGGAATGGAGATGAGGAAGTTGTAGGATGTGGAAGGAGGGAAAGTCATCTCTTCTCTGATTCCCAAACATCAACTAGAACCAAGTGAGAGTAAGTTAGAATGATACCCACTGAGACTGAAGGGGCGGTTGTAAAGCAGGCATGGGGCAAGCTCTTGGAAGAAGCAAAGGGAAATACCAGGAAAGGGGCTTAAAAGCACCACTAGCTGGAAGCTTGGAAAGGAATGAGGAAAGAACTCCAACTGAACAGAAAGGAATTAGCATCAAAGCCCGGTTCTGGGCAGACTCCAGACTGGCGCTGCAGCTAGAACAGCCGGGACTGAATGGCACCTTGTTAATTGCTTTTTTTTTCTTCTTGTTTCTGTACTGTTCCCAACTCCCTTTTTCATCTTATGCCTCTTTCCACCCTGAATCCCATTCTTTCTTTTTTCTTTCTCCTCTTCCTCCACCCCACCCCCACCCCCAGCTTTCTGGTGGATGCGAATTGACCGTGGTCCTCCAGGACTTCAATGCGGGCCACAGCAGTGAGCTGACCATCCAGGTGGGGCAGACGGTGGAGCTGCTGGAGAGGCCGAGTGAGCGGCCGGGCTGGTGTCTGGTCCGCACCACCGAGCGGAGTCCCCCACAGGAGGGCCTGGTGCCCAGCAGCGCCCTGTGCATCTCCCATTCTCGCAGCAGCGTGGAGATGGACTGCTTCTTCCCCTTGGTGAAAGGTACGGAGATCGGGGGCGGGGCACCTGACCAGAGGCCGCTGGGGAAGGAGGCCCCAGGCAGGTGTTCACAGTAAAGAACAGCATGGCCCAACAGCCCATCCTGACCGTCAGGGATTTCGCTGGTGGTCATGAAGAAGAGGATTAGGAAGCGAGGGAGAGAAGAGAAAGAACTTCCAAGTTGTTGTGTGACTGTGTAATGTTGGAAAAATCACTTAGCTTTTCTGCATCCGTCTCATCTTTAAAATGAGTATTGACTTCAGTGACCACTGAGATCTCTCCCAGCTCTGCCATTGCACTGCCCTCCATTCAGAAAAGTCCTTTTCTCCCTTTGACCAAAGGTCTAGACTCCCCCTTTCCCCTTACCCACCACCCCCACACTAGCAAGAAGCACAGAGCACACACACAGCACAGCTCTGCTGGACCTGCCCCTCGCATGTCCTGCAGGGCCTGACTCTCGGGTGCATGCGTCTGGCAGGTCAGCAAGTCAGCCTTGCTTCCTATAGTTTTAAGCCCTGTGTTCCTTTCACAAGCTTGTTCCCTTTTCCTCTTCCGGGGGGGACAGAACTATTTAGAACTGTGTTCTCCAAGTTGGGGGTATCTCTGGCCCGACAGCATCAGCAGCCCCTGGGAACGTGGTAGAAATGGCAGTTCTCAGACCCCATCCCAGACGTACTGGGCCAGAGCGCTGGAGTGGGGCCCAGTGGCTTGTTTCTTAATAAGCCCTGCAGCCAGCTCCCAGGCACAATCAAGTAGGAGGCCAGGGGGAATGAACTCTTTCCTTTTACAGCAAGGAAACTGAGTCCCAGAGAGGATATCTGTGTAAACTTAGTTTTGTTAGTGGTCAGATCATCTGATTCCAGGCTGCCTTCTGTGCAGACCCGCGTTAGGCATTGTTAGCATGAGGGAAGGGCCTCCGTTCTTTCTAGATACAGGGACAAGAGGCATCTGCCTGCTGTAGGCTTCCCTATAGGTACAAACAATGAATTAAGTGTTTGAAATGTTCATTTTTTTAATTCCCTCTGGCCCAAAACCTGACCTCCTCCTTTCCCTCCACTAGGTGGCCACAGAGATTACTTTATTAAGGTTACCTAACATCAGCTCCGTGGTTTTTGTCCTGGAGAAGTTTTTAACCAAAACTTGATTTTCCTACACACAAACAGAAACACACATACACACACACCATGTTCTCCCCCCCCTCCCAGATTAACAATCACTGGGTTTTCCACCTTTTCTATGAGAATTGAAGAGGGACTGTATCAGGAAGTTGTGTGGAATTTATAACTGGATTGCAGTCTCCTAGTCCTTTGAAGTAGTCACCAAAGAAACACATAGTACAAGGAAAGATAAAATCAGGGGAACTCAAAAATATGGTCCTGTTTGAATCTTGTCAAGGGTGAAGCCAGGGCACAGAGAGGTTAAGATTATGAGGATGAAAGAGAGAATATGTACAAAATACTCAGACCACTTAAAACTTGATGTTCAGTACATTTCGTTACCACGATATTATCGTATCATCTGTCATAGATTATTCAGAAAAATAACTACAAATGCCCACAAGTTTAGTCTAGAGACCCACAGTCTCTTTCCAGATGAAAAGCCAATTCATTTGCCTTTTCATTTGCTAGGAGAGGCTGATTGACCATAGATGTACAGGTATGGGTCATTGCGTTAGGAAAGCCTTAACTTCAAGTGAAGACCTAAGACGTCTTGACCTAGGTCCACCTCCATAGTTTGTGGCTGGATAAGATGTCCATCCCCTCTTGTCCCTGGCCACCTGGCACTCCTTCAGCAGTGACTTCTCTCTAGTTATGCACAACTAGATTGAGAAGGAAATGTTCTCCTGGGGGGATGGGGCTATCTAGTGTCACAGGAAGCCTGCCTCTGTCTCTCTCAAATCTTAGACAGGTCTAGTGTCCTCTTTGCTGAGAGCGTCAAGTCAGCATCATATAAGCTTTGAGAAGCGGGGAAGTATCTGTTCTGAGTGCCCCCTGAGAGCTTAGCTCATGACTGTCACCCCAGAAATGGAGGCAGTATAACTGTAGAATGTCAGCACCTAGGATGGAACCTGGAGAATCCTGAGACCGGGCGTTCTGCTCTGTACAGTCACTTAAAAGCTGTAGCAGATGACAATATTCAGGCCCACCTAGTACAATTAGACTCAGGATCTCTAGGTTGGGATCTGAGGGTTGGTGGTTTTTAAATGCTTTCTTGGGTAAATCTAAGGTAAAGTCAGGCATGAGCCCCCAGTGCATAGGCCAGGGACACTCTTGGGCACAGGAAAGCAGGATAACTTTCCTACAGGGGAAGAGGGTGCTGATGGCAAGGCTGGACTAGAATCAGCCCACACATACTGCCTGCTGGTCCCCCTCCTGGTCCTCGGGTCACTCTCCTGTTTGCCCTCCTGAGGAACAAGAGATGGCGGTTTATTGTTTCTTTCTGCTGCATTTGCTGCAGAATTGTTAAGGGGACAGTATGACAGAGTGGGGGATTGCATTCCCTATTCCTTTATTGCTACCTGTAGGGCTTCTCACTGGGGTTCAGTCCTGTAGAACTTAAGTGATTCCTCCTCCTAATCCTCTCCCTCTTTCTAAGCAGTAAGTGGTGCAGGGCAGAGCCTCCCAAGGGGCAGACTTCATAGTGGTGGTTTTCAACTCTGGATGCATCTTAGAACAACCTAGAGAAACTTAAAAATAATGATGCCTGATTCCCCAACCCAGTCCAATCAACGGCCAAGCGTCTGGGCACCGATAAATTTTAAATTTCTTGGTAATTCTGAATGTGCCATATGGGTTAAGAGTTACTGTTTGATGGACTTAGCACCCACAGTGTTAGGCTTAAGTTATTAAAACATAACTTCAGGAAGGCATTAACATGTAGATTGTGTAAAGAACTCCTTCAACTCAACAACACCAACAAATTCAATTTAAACATGAGCAAAGGACTTGAGTGAACATTTCTCCAAAAATACACAAATGGCCAGTAAGCACATGAAGAGATGCATCACTAGGGAAATGGAATCAAAATCACAATTAGATATCACTTCATACCCACTTGAATAGTCATTATTTAAACATATACACACAGAGAAAATAACAGGTGTGGTGAGTATGTGGAAAAATTGAAATTGCTGTGCACCACTGGTAGAAAGAAAAATAATGAGCTATTGTAGAGAGCAAGATGGGGTGTCTATAGGTAACTCTGAGACCGATTTCCCACAGGGGTGTGGTTAGGCTTCCCCACACCAACAAGCAATTCTGACACTATCTATCCAGAGGGAGCATCAAATTCCATAGGCTAACGCCTCAGTCTTCCAAGACTGTCTCCACTTCAGGTGTGGGCCGTAAAACTAGGCCACAATTATTTCTAATTGAGTAGCTACAGACCAGTGGTCCCCATAACCTCCTCAGATTTCAGTGGCTATTGCCAGTTCAGATTATTACCTGTACTTTTGATCTACTGGTTATAAACCAGCGGTGCTCAGGACACCCACCTCGGGTTTGTCTAATTGTCTAGAGTGGTTCACAGGAAACCCATTTACTCACTAGATCACTGATTTATTACAAAGAATATAACTCAGAATGAGCCAGATGAAAGAGATGCAGAGAGCAAAAATTCACAAAGTTTCATGCCTTCTTCAGGTGCATCTTTCTCCACACATCTTCACATGCTCCCCAACCCAGAAGGCCTCTGAAGTCCCTCCTTTTGGACTTTTATGAGGGTTTCTTATATAGTTGTGGTAGATTAAGTCTTTGGCCTTTGGCAGATGAACTCATCCCCTGGCCCCTCTCTACTCTGGAAGGAAAGTGGAGACTGGGAGTCCTAACCCGCTGATCATGTGACTGCTTCCCCTGGCAACCATCCTCTCCCTGAGGATTTTCTGGAGGTTGCCTTCATTAACATAAGAAGAGATACCTTGTCACTCAGGATACTTGTCACTGGCGATTTCTAAGTTTTTGGGCACTGTACGTAGAAATTGTGGATGAAGGCCAAATATGTATGAGAAATATATTTGGTGGGGGCGGGGGTGGGGGGAGTCTCTCTGGTAGCCTAGGGGTTAAATCTCAGTGCTGCCACCTATCCTGCCTGAGTCTGATCCCTAACCAGCAGGTTAACCCACATTTAGTGCACCAGACTCTCCTGTGTCACCCACTGCTCCCCTTGGCAGTATATTTCAGTAAATCCTCCTGTTCTGCTCCCCAGTCTGTCTCTGGTGAATCCTACTAGCCCAGTACCTCTGGTCTAGACCCAAGTTCTTCTACACTATATATGTAAATATATCTATCTATATAGACATCTGAATGTCCAAATTATATATTTCTTGTAAATCACAATATTGTTTGGTTCCTCAAAATTTAGAGACAGAATTACCATAGTATACAGCAATTTCCTTCTGATTATATACCAAAAGAATTGAAAGTAAGAACTCAAAGTACTTGTACGCCCACACTCATAACAACACCTTTTACAGTTTAAAGATGAAAGCAACCCAGTGTCCACCAACAGACACTTGGAAAAACAAAATCCATACAATGAAATATGATTCCATCTTAAAATAGATGCAAAATCTGATGCATGTTAAAGCATGGATGAACTTTGAAAGCATTGTGCTAAGTGAAGTCAATCAGTCACACAAAGACAAATACCCATTCATGTGAGATAGCTAGAGTAGCCAAATTCAGAGACAGAAAGCAAAAAAGGTTGTTACCATGAGCTGGAAAGAGGGGAGTACAGGGAGTTAATGTTTAATGGGGACAAAGTTATACTTTTGCAAGATGAAAAATGTGCTGGAGATGGGTGATGGTGATGTTTGCACAACAGTGTGAATGTACTTAATGCCACTGAACTGTACACTTCAAAATAGGTAAAAGTGTTTAAAAAAAAAAAAAGCAATGATCCTGGGTACTTCTGCCCTAGACTCCAAAAACCAAAACCAGTCTAGGTTCTTCTCTGCCTGGCTATGCAAGATGTCTGTCTCCTTTTCCTGACATTTCTTTCCTGGC